GGTGAATATTCATACATGCAGGCAAAACACTTACAGATATAAGTAAGGCAAAAATATTTTAAAGGAGTACAAATTGCTGATTATTTTTAAGAAATCTAGCCTAAATGTTTTAGTCTCAGTGTCATTACCAATATGATAGAGTACTTCCCACAATAGTAAATACTGTGACTTAAACAAAAATAGGAGCCTAAATAACAATCAATTCTCATTATATTCCGTTTATTTATCTATAGATTTGCTTATTGTCCTCTAAGTCTGAAATCCTGTTTACAGTCATTCACACAGACACAGAGCAGTGGGAACTCCTGCCAACAGACGTCACGGTCCCAACTATAGCAGGGCAGTGTGGTGATACTCTTCTACGCTCCCTCTCACACTGTCAACAACTGGTCTTTCCACAGGTCATTTAGTTTTAAAACTTGTTCCAAAGGCTGTGTTGAACCTTACGGAAAAACATGTAAAGTTTTGTTCAGCTATTATTACTGCTCCTGGCCATGAGTTTAATTAAATTTACATACATCTTAAATAGACACAAAAATCACTAACGTATTGGTGAACTGACAAGCATGTTAGGGTTATAGACAGGAACTTAATCCTGCATTTCCCTTACAAGTCACAATTCACTAGCCACTGGTGCTTCTGGCAATTTTACAGACCATAACAACTGCAATTAATGAGAATCAATCATGTGAGTCCAGGGGAGAGAAAGTGACTTCTTTCAAAAATGAAGATACAGTTTCTGCCTTCTCTCATTTCATACAGGAAATGCTGGTGGGACATGTCTTACAACCACGGTACATACAGTGCTGTGGGGTTATCTGGGTAAGCCCCTCAGAGACAGTCATCCTCCAGAGCAACTGAAACTGACAGACAACAGGAGGCCTGTGTGAATGCTGCTCAGCAGAGGAATGGCACATGCACATCTAATAATTGTCACTGTAGGCAGAGAGAAACGAACAGTGGTTTCAAACAAGAGCCTAAACAGAAGGCAGAATACTAACGTCGAGTTTTATGTGCTAATATGTCAGTGGGTATCTGTTCACGCCAACAATTTTAAGTACCCAGCAAAAGGGTGTAAGTGGAAGGATTTACTACAAAACTGAACTGGGGATAACAGTGCAGAATAGCTATCACAGAGGAATTAAAGAAATTTTGAGACAGTTTTACTGTATTGTCTAGACTGTTTTTCAATTCCTTGGTTTGAATGACTCTCCAGCTTTAGCCTTAAGGAGCTGGGAGCATATTCAGCATGACTGTCTTAAAGTACAGTCATCCTAACTAACATCCAACATGACTCCACACACGGTGCAAAGAGAAATATATGCTATTCCTCCACCTCTGCTCTCAGGTGAAAGAACAAATGTCTTAGAGGTATACTTATAGTAACTGCCAAGTTGTTTGGTATTTTATTTTTAGAAGATGTCAAAACATAAATAAAACATACTTTTCTTCTTCCTTCCTCCTTCCGATCAAAAGCACATTGCTGTTTGCACTGTTCACAGGTCTGAGGTGGTCCATATTTTTTTTCTGAATTTGTGCAACGCTGACACTTGGTACCAATAAATGCTGCAATTATGTTACAGTATTGACAAGGCTTGGGCTGCAAAATAAACACATTTAGTTTAACTGAGATATTTAAAACTTTGTTGCATAAGACACATCCAGTGGTAGTAAAATATCTGGGGAGTTAACGAGGAAAGTGTTAAGTTAAAAACATTTGTTTCTGCCAAGTACATGTTTAAAGTCAAATATGGGTCCATTCATTCAATTAACATTCATTAATTACAACAGTCATGAAGCTCAACTGTGCATGCTCAGAAGTCTGACCATCATGAAAAATACACGCATTTACACAATACAAAATTTGCTGCGAGGTAAAACAATTATTCATAGAAAAGTCTCATGAACCTCTAATTTGAAGAAATGAACTTATAGTGATATGCTAGTTGAATTAACTGTTATATCATTTATTTAATTAAAAAGAATTTTATCATATTTAGCTATTTGTCACAGTAAATGTATACTACAAGTATCTTTTCAATAGAAAAAATTTAGCATAAGCATATTCAGTTTAAGTAACAATGAACATGCTTGATTTCTTAGATTTCAGGACAGTAAGGAGGCTTAAGGTCAGCAGCACTTTGACCTATCATAAATAGTATTGTTATGTTAACAACTACAACATACATGTGGGCCAATCTGTACCAGGATACTGTCATTAGTTTTGAACACTTGAACTGTACTGCCACATAAAAAGTTCCAGAAATCAGGGGAAAGTTTAATTACATTAACACTGTAAACAAATAGGTCCACCACATTCAGGACTTTGCTGTAATTATATCTTTAAGAAATAGCTTCACAAACTGCACACTGAAATTCACTACATAACATGTAAAGCATGCAGTTGTTTTTAATATTTTCATTTTCTCATCAATTCTATAGAGATTTCCTTCCACAAAACTATTTTGATATGTTGAGATACTTAAGTACAGACACTGGATTGTTTTAGGAGAAAGTCATGAAGAACCATAACTAGCCAATAATAATGACATGAAATGAAAAACATACTTACTGTTCCAAATTGCTTGACATTTTGAGCACACTTCTTACAAATTGTGTTAGTTTTGCTGAAAAGGAAATCATATCCAGATGATTACACTCATGTCACCTTCTAGGGTAAGTAACACATGCTGATCTATAGTAAACCGATAAGTCAAAGATCTGTAGATTACTTACTCTAATTCACAACGACTATCTTTTTAAAAACATGAATATTAATTTTAGGTTAATTGTTTGTAAACTTATTTCTCTTAAAGACAATTTTTCCATATATTAACTTATTAGAGACAAGTGTCTCGAGGTCTCAGGATATGTGTCTAGGTTGGTCTCTAAGTGGTAATTCTCCTGTCTCCACCTCTAAACATTGTCCTCATTTAGACAACCAACTATAATTGTATAATTTTTGTAAAGAAAACAGCAAAAGCCCTAATGTCTTCCCCCCGGTTCTGAACTTTCCCTTACCAATCTAAACGCACATTCTCATGCACCAGAGCCCAGCTCACTTCTCGGTCCGCTGTTCTCCACTGGGATGTCCACACATACAGGAATAAAAGTATTTGTTCTCTTGAGCTACTTACTTGTGTGATCTCTAAAAGAGGATTTCCTGTTAAAAACATCTGTGCTAGTCACACTGAAAAGTCAGTGACTTCAGTCTTGAAAGGCAGCTGGTAACACTATAGCTCTTTCCTCTGGTTCATTAGCATTTTTCCATTAAAAATAGTTTAAAAATAATTGTTCGTATTTTGATTGTTGACAAAAGTGTACATTTTCCATCCATCAATTTATCCCCTATTTTCTCATGTTCAAATTGAAGTCTAGTTCTAAAATAAACACTAGGGTTTTTCAGTTAATGTGTTCTCTCATACTATGTATAAAAAAGTTCTTGATTTTAAATTTCAGAAGCCAAAGCATTTTTTTTCAAAACACTTTAACACAAATACTACAACCCCCAGACATTCCTTACATGAATTTTTAACAATGAAAAAGTGCTCAGTATACAAACCTCTCCTGCTGAAATTCTGATCTGCAGTAAGTACATTTTACAATAGGATGTGCAATCCGACATTCCTGGAATAAGACAATACATTAGTCAGTATTCATCTCACAGACCCAATCTCACTTTTCTGGTAGAAATTACTCAACCTAGTCAAGTGTCTGAAATGTCAATAAAACCTGGCTGGCAACGTAAACAACTGGGTGACTTATCCCATCAGCAGCCAGTCACAGTATAATCCCACCAGGAGGCCATAGATATTTCTGTCCTTATTGGATGTGGGGGGATATGGAACAGACACATTAAGGAAGCTGTCAGGACTGACTTCCAGGGGCGGTCTTATGTGTTATTTTGTACAGTTGCTCACAGACAGCGTCCCAGCTTTTATGGGATGGGAGGAGCTCCAAATCAGAGCACCCTGTTCCCAAACCAGTCGCTTCACTTTCCGGGACAGGAAGCAGGATGCCATCAGCTCTGCAGCTTCGGGTTCGGGTTCCTAGCAAGAAAGTGCAAACACGGCGCCCTGCCTCCCAGTGGAAGCAGAGGGCAGCCCCTGACCAGGCTGGGGTGAGATTCTGCACCAGGTCTCTGCGACGCTGTGGACTGGTGGCCGCCCGGCTCTGCCCCACCCGAGACCGCCAAGCGCGGCGGAGCCGGCCCCAGCCTTCGAGCAGGCGGGACGCGGTCGCCCCGGGCCTCTCCCACCTGATGCCAGGGCCCCGGCGGGGAACGGCGCGCCGAGCGCCCGACACCCACCGACCTTGCAGAGCTGTTGGCCTTGCGACAGCTCCTCGAAGGGGTAGCGCTGCGTGCACTTGGTGCAGGCATACAGGGCCGACGCCGCCATCCTGCTTTCAGGCTCCTCCGCGCGCGCCCAGGCGGGGCCTCCGGGAACTCGGTTGCCCCGCCCGCGAGCTCCTCTGCCGCTGCGGCCCCGGCCTGGCGACCGCCGGGCCCCCCGTGTCTCCCTCCGCCTCTGCCGCCGTCCCGGGACACCCGCTGCCGCCCGCCCCGCCGCTCCCGCTTAGGCCCGGAACGCGGCGGAGGGAGACGAAGCGGGCGCTAGGCTGCGGATTCCGCTTCCTCCTCGGCCTCGCGTCCCCTTCTATGATTGGTTGCAGAGAACCTCACGTCACTCAGAAGCTCCGCCCAACCCCTGGCCTAGGTGACGTAGGGAGCGCCCACAAAGAGAGGAAAGCAACAACCAATAGGAGGCTGGTGCTCTGAGCGCGCGAAATCCGCTTCGAAGAGATCCCGCCTACAAGCCACGGCCAGTCCTAGTGTGGGCGATGCGCCGGAGCCCATTGGACACAAGTCACGCAGCGCCCCTATTTTCAGCCCCTGGTTTCCATTGGATCATGTCACTAAGCCCCACCCACTCCCGTTTGCCATTGGCCGAAAGGTCATTACTTCACCTGGAGAGGCGGAGAGGCGGGCGAACGCTCTCTGGAGTTTATTTCTGGGGCACCGATGGAGTGTTTGGACTTCCCACTGGCCCTTACTCTGTTCCTGTCATCCGCCCGGGCCGTCGCCGGAGGCTCCGGCAGCCGTAGCCTTTGCTTGCTGCTCCAGGACGCCCAGCCCTTCCCAGAATACTCTCGGAGCCGTCTGTCAACTCTCAGCGTTGCGGTCCCCGCAGGCTCAGCAGCGCGCTACCTTGTGACGTCACCTAGAGAGGCGGACTCAGCCTGCCGCCAGAAGATGTCCTCTTTTCTGATTGGCTAACGAAGACGTCTGTCAAGACGCGTTGCTCTTTTGGTGATCGCTGAGTGTGGCGTCCTTGTAGGGTGTGAGGCCGAGGCTCCTAGCCGGTTCGCAGCGCGCCCGCCCTTTCCATCGGGGGCTCGGCTTCGGCTCGTCCCAGGCGGGCGGCTGTCGAATCCGGAGGAGGAGCTCGAGGACGGCGGCCCGCGTTGCGCAGGCGGGAAGATGGCGGCGGCCTCGGTCTCGGCGGCTTCGGAGTCTCATTTTTCGGTAAGCGGCGGTGTTGGCGTGGGTTCCAGGTGGGCCGGGACGGCTCTCCGGGTCGCCTCGCTTTTCTGACGGCTCTGGGTCTGGCGTCAGTCCGCGGGGACGGCGGGCTGCTTGGGCCGCGTGCCTGTGTCGGTCCCTCCGGGAGGCTGCACCTGTGTCTTGCGGAGCAGCAGCCCCGTCCGCCTGCATTGCCACCCAGCGCTCGCCTGGCCTCGCAGCCCGCGCTCGGAGCCTTGTCCCGGCCGGGCGGCTGCACTCTCAGGCCTGGGAAAACAAAGCTCGGTCACGTGAGCCTAACGGCCCGGCTCGGAAACCCTCAGAAAACAGGCAGGTGTGCAGGTCTGCGGAGTGACGGCCGCTGAGGCCCCCGGAGTGCGTTTTCGTCGTCGTCTGCAGGGCTCGCAGTGACTGTTGCGCGACCCTTGCAGCAGAGCCCGCGCGTTCCCACCTCTTGGGGAACACCTGGACTCGGGGTGGAAATGCTGCTTTGGAGAAGCCACCCGGGGGCTCAGACAGCGGCGGGTTTAGTCACTGGCGTTTGTAAGATTCTGTTGTGGAGCCCAGTCTTTTGGAAAACGCACTAGTAAGAAGAGATAAGAATTAAGTGTGACAGAGCTGGAATTGCGTTCGGAAATGCTCTGTGCCTCGCCTACTGTTTACAGTTACTCTAGAAACCCCACTGAAGGACAAAGCACTGTACTCATTAGATGATTCCTGCCCTTCGTGTTTGTACCGAGGAGTCTGGAATTGATTGATTGGCAGCAGTGTTAGGGGAGGTAGTTTGTGGAAGAGAACATAGAACTAGTTGCTCGTTGAAGGCATTAGAAGAGAATAGCGCACTGCAAACTTTTTGAGGTATGTAGCAAGACAGTAGTCATTTCCAGGACATCAGAGGGTAATTTGTAATAAACAGGTAATTCAGAGGTAGAGTTGGGCAAGAAGGACTAGAAAAACAAGTGAGAATTGAATAATGGGGGAAGTCAGAATATCACGGTAATTTCATAACAGATGAGGGAAAGGCTGTTAGAGATCACAGTCACCTTCAGAAAGTCACACTTAGGAATCTGTTTCAACTTTCTGTGGCTACTAGAATCTGTGATAACAAGGCCAGACTATCTCAGGTTTTCAGCACAATGGCTCTAGAGCTGAGAGGCGGTGGAGCAAGCTTTTGGGAGTTCATTCACTGACCAGATCGATAAAAGGTAAAAGAAAGACTAGCAGAAACAAGTGTCAGTGGAGTGGGTTCATGAATTATACAGAGACAAGATTGCTTTGGCTTGGGAAAGAAAGGAGGGCTCTTCTTTGCATCAAAACTTAGAAACTGGAGACCAACTAAAGAGTAGGTAATAATAGATTGAGCTTTACCCAAGGCCATCAAGGCAGTGTCACAGGGATGTAGTTAATCCTTAGTCCTTATGGTAGACCCAACTGAAATCCTAAAGCCTGTTCAATAGAAAAGTATATGTATTTTGTGCAATGGTATTGTTTTGGGTTTTTTTGTAGTCTGCATTGCTGGAAAATTGGTAGGGAGACAGTATCAAAAGAAAGTGTCAGGAAATGAAACAAGGGTTAGCCTGGGACTGCATTATGTGGAGGTTTTATAAACTATGGTAAGAATTGTGCTCTGTTTTGGAAAGCCATAGGAGAGTTTTGATTAGAAATACTAACTTGAATTCCCCCACCTCCTTTTTTTAGGATCTTTATCACTGGCAAGCTGTTTGGAAGAACATATTTAAGTGTGAAGAGTAGTTAGCATTTCACAGTCATTCAAACTTAAACCAACTATAGCAACATCTAGGGTAGTAGGGATTCTAAATATGTTAGGGAGAAAGAACCCTAAATGATTTGCAGACATTAGATCTGAGTGATTGAAAATGACTCCATACAAGGGCTTTGGACAGGGCAGTTTAGTAAATGGCAGTGCCATTTGTTTTGGTATGCTGTGTGGGGAGCAGATTTGGGAACTAACCAAGAATTTGATTAGAGTCATTAAATTTTAGGTGCCTGATCAGACATACAAGTAGGTAATGAGTGATGTGGGTTTGGAGTTTTAGATTCAGATCTCAGTTCCATATTTTAACTTAAAAGCTACTGGCAAATTCAAATTAAGGCCTGAGAGTAGATGCGGATTTTTTAAGAGAATCCATGTAGATAAGAAAGGAACCTTGGACCAAGCTTGGGGGACTCAGGCATTTAACAAAAGTGGGAGGGGAGATCCAGGGAGTTAATGATGGAGAGACCTAGGAGGTTGAAGGAGAATCATTGCTGCTCCCTCCACTGAGTGAAGTGCTTAGGTAAATGATTTCTGTCATCCATGCTTCTGAGAGAGATTAGTTTAATTTTCATAGTTTTATTAGTGTGTGCCTGGTGATGTGTGTGGGGGTGAACATGCCACAATTGGCTTCTGGAGGTCAGAAGACAGCTTTGAAGTTGCCTCCTTCCACCTTAGTGGGTTCTGAGAGCTAACGTGGCTCAGTAAGCCTGTTCAGCAAGCACCTTCGTCCACTGGCCTGGATTTTGTTTTTAAAGCTCAGAAATCAGTCTAGGGTTGAGGCCTCTTGGAGTTGAGGAAGAGATTTGTCCTTTTGTGGCACCAGGAAAGTTGTAGTGGAGAGCAGAAGAGGCACCAGGAGGGCTTTAATTGTAGGATCTAAGACTTAGAGAGGGTAAATGGAGACAGATAAGTCATATGTTTGTTGCTTGTTTGATAAGACAGAAGAGCTAATTCATATTTTATTTTTTTTTTAAATTAAAAACTCACTGTTTTTCAAATTACCTTCAAAACCTCATACCATTTTGCCTTTAGACTTGTAAAAGGATAAATGTTGGTCCCTGAGTGTTACGGGCCACAGGAAAATATTATAAGAACTCAGCTGGTTATGGCAAAACCACTCACTACCTGAAAGGATCAAGGAATTCCTTCAAAGGAAACCAAATCCCAGGGAGCTTTTGGTGTTATTTGGCTTGTTGTATATCAGCTGTCTTCTGTTATGAAAATCATGTGTGCCTTCATAGTTTTCCCAATTGACGTTTCCCTAAGAAGGGCTAACAGTGTGGACTGATCACTCTCTGGACATACACATTCAAGGTACAGAACAGCCTCAGGAAAGGCTTCCTTCCCCCAGCCCATCTGTTTCTCCCCTTTCAGCACTGGAATCAGATATCTCCCTTAGCCACTTTCAAGGACTAACAGAAATAACAGTTGAGACCACCATTTGCTAGTCTCCTGATAAAAGGTAAATTCCACAAGGAGATACCGCCTAGGTCAGGCGGACTTTAAGTAATAGCTTTACACAATTTAGCTCGGACCCTCCTTTCTTACAGCCTTATTAAGTTTATAGACCCCTAACTTCATACTTAACTACTCCTAGGAATATAGATTGAGCACATAAATTTCCTTTTTGATATACTGATATTAGCTCTCAGCTTACCTTCTCCCTTAACCACTCCATTTTCAGGTCATAAAAGAAAGCCTGACAGTCACTGCCTGAGGAAAATTCTTACCTACCTTTATGACCCTGTAGAAGTCAAGCCTGGTGACCTTGCTAGACCAGAGAATTGCTATTGCTTGGGTTTATAACTAGATTCCTGAGAGACTTAGGGAGAACTGAGAGAATAAGGAGATGGAGAAGAGAAAAAAGAATGGAAGAACTAGATGGGTAAGAACTGGAGAGGAACAAACTGAGACAGGGAAGAACTAGATTGAAGGGCTAGAAGGGAGTACTAGACGAACAAGATGGAAGATGAGGAAGAGCCAGATGGTGAAGTACTAGCTGGGTAAGAATGAGATGAAAAGGACCTAGATGAGGCAGGATTTAGATGAGAGAATTAAGATAGAACTTAGATAAGTATAGAGAGAAATCAGGCAAGAAAGGAGCTAAGCACAGGAACAGAACTGAAGCTGTGTAAATAGGATGTTATCCCAGAGGAATTAAAGCAAGTGGAATATAGAGCTCAGTGTGCTGAGATTCTATTTCCCCAAAACAGTCCTCTGTGTTCGTAGTTCTCTCTCCTGAGCTCCTGGAATGTATAATATTAAGGCTGGTCCCTCTAATATTATACAGGACCTGAGCCCACATATTACATCAGATAGAGCTCTCATTTGATCTTAGGCAAAAGGCTGAGAAATGACAGCACTTACGTGACTAGGGCTCTTTTTGAGGCTTGTGTCCAGCTTTCCTAAGCTCATTGCCCCCTGTAGTTTTCACAGCAACAGTGTGTTTTGTAATTGCCCTTATAAATCCACTGGAAGTATTACTGTAACACAAAAGTACAAATTTTTATTATATAGGTATTTGGATAGTTTCATTTATTCAAGGAAGTGGTTTATTGTTATAAATATTCATAGTTCCTTTGTACCTACACAAAAACTACGCTAATATTTTAGCAATAAGAGTTCTTCAGAAAATTGAAAATCCTAATTTGCTGTGGCAATCTGAAAAAGGGAACTAGATGTGTGAGAATTCTGAGCAGCGGCAGTCATCCTGTCTTCTTCCTTAGCTCCTAGCATCTCTATTATTTCCTTCTTATTGAAGCGTCCAGCACCACAAACTCACCTACTACTAAAATTCCGGTTAACATTTAGAGGTATACTTTGGTAAGTTTATATCATGTGGAACATACTCCCAAATTTGACAGATTTGTGACAGATGGTGTATGTGGAGAAAGAGTTTTATATGAGAATATATAAGCCCAAATGTTTTATAATTATTTCCCCTTTTTGCTAACTAAATATAAATTTTTAAAGAAAAGAACATGCTTTCTTTAGGGAGTTTTTAGTCGTTATAAATATTTGGCAAACATTTTGTTTATTGAAGATAGAATAAGCCAGCAATTTGTATCTGTTTCTGATCTGAACAAAAATTGGACTTGCCTAAATATTTGTATTGAGGTTGTGTGGGCGTAGTGTTTTTGCCATGTGTCTGTTTAACCCTAAATGTTGCATCTCTTCACAGTCAGTAGTGGTTGGGTTCTACTGTGAGATCATGCACTGTTTTTCCTTCCTGTTGTCTTTTAGAGAAACATACAGTGTTACTCAGTCATGAATATTTGCTTTAAATGTCTGCAAGGTAATTTCATAATTTTCTTTTTCAGAACATCCTAGCTGAACCATTGAGGTCTAACAGAAATATGGTTCGTCGTTCTTCATCTCCATATGTATTATATCCACCTGATAAGCCTTTCCTTAATAGTGATCTGCGACGCTCCCCAAATAAGCCCACACTTGCCTATCCAGAAAGCAACAGCAGAGGTAACCAACTGGAACAGAGTAAATGTTTACAATTCTTAGTTTTGACCTCTGTTTTCAAGTAAAACAGTATTTATTTTCCTCTTTATTTCGGTGAATTTATATGCTTTTCATATTGACTACTAAACATTATCCATCAACTCATGGAAGCTAAAATACTTTGAGTCACTTATTACTAGTCTCTCCTCTCCAGAATCAGTCTCAGGCAGGGGCTGGAGAGATAGCTCAGTAGTTAAGAGCATTAGCTGCTCTTCCAAGAGGACCTGGGTTCAGTTCCCAGCACCCACATGGTAGTTTACAACTGGCTGTAACTATTCCCAGGGAATCGGACACCCTCTTCTGGCCTCTAGGCATTGGGCATGCACATGGTGTACAGATATACAGTAGGCAAAACACCCGTACACATTAAATAAATAAATAAATAAATAAATAAATATCTTTTTTAAAAAGTTAGAGTTATGTAGACAGCACTAATTAGACTCTGAATTGTATTCTTCTAAAGAAGACAAACATTAAGAGGGTGTGTGGTGTGTGGATTAGGGGTAAGGTCCTGGGGGATGTGAAAGGAAGTAGGTGCCTATCATCCAGGTGCATTACATATATATGTGAAAGTATCAAAGGATAAACAACCAATACTTTTTTTTTTTTTTTTTTAAGCCAGGCTTTTTGACACATTTCTATTCCCAGTGCTGTGTGCCAGAGACAGACAGACAGATCTCTGGGACTCACTGTCCAGCCAGCATAGCTTAATCAGTGAACCTCAGTTGTGAAAGACCTTGGCTGAACCAACACTGTGTTACCTGATGAAGGGAAGCCAAGGTTGACCCCTGACCTTGGCATATGTATGTACTTGATGTACATACAACAGAAAAATATTTGAGACATCTGTTGATACCTGTTGCTGGGGATACATGAACAAGTGTCTGCTTGCCACAGAGAGGTACCAACAACAGACCAAAGAGATGGGGCCATTAAAGACAAATTTGATGAGGCAGTAAGTTTGAGCTTTCTCACATGACAATGGACAAGTTACAGGTGACTAAGGAAGAGTCTCCCTTGAACTGACAGTTATTAGCAACCTCTGAGGAATCTCTAAGGAGAAGGGCCTTTTATCTTGCCTCCTGAGCAGCTTGGTAAGCTTTGGAAGCCTCCTTACCATCCAGGAGGGAATGTTAGGACACCTTTTTAGGGTCTTCTGTGGATAACCATAGCTGCTCTGATTTCAGTGCATCATCTAGGAGCCAAATGGTTGACAACATTTAATAATGTACTTTGGGACTGCCCTAGTCAGTGTTCAGTCACTGTGAAGAGACATCTTGACCATGGCAACTCTTACAAAGGAAAGCATTTAATTGGGGCTCACTTATAGTTTCAGAGGTTTAGTTCATTGTAATCATGTCAGAAGCATGGTTGCATGCAGGCAGACATGGTGCTGGAGAAGTATCTGGGAGTTCCACATCCAGATCTGAAGGTAGGAGGAAGAGAGAGACACTGGGCCTGGTGTGGGCTTCTGAAACCTCAGAGCCTCCCTACCAGTGACATACCTCCTTCAGGAAGGCCACACATACTCCAACAAGTAGTGCTGTTGGTGAAGCATGCAAATATATGATCATATGGGAGGCATTATTATTCAAACCATACTCCCTGGCCCCTATAAGCTTGTAGCCATATCACAGTGTTGCAAAAATGCCTTCAGTCCAACTTCAAAAATCCCAATAGTCTATCACAGTCTCAACACTGTTTAAAAGTCTTCTGAGACTCGTGGAAATCTCTTCATTGTACTCCTTTAAAAACAAAATAAAAAAGCAGGTTACATACTTCCAATATACAGTGGCACAGAATATATATTACCATTCCAAAAGGAAAGAAAGAGATATAGTAAGGAAATACTGGACCAAAGCAAGACCAAAAACCAGCAGGGCAAACTCCAAATTCTGCATCTTATGTGTGATATCCAGGAGATCTTCATATCTCCAACTCCTTTCACCTTTGTTGACTGCAATGCACTTCTGCACTTCTCGCTGGTTCCACACCCTGTTTAGTAGCTCTCCTTGCCAGGTATCCCATGACTCTGGCATCTCCAATATCTTGGGGTTTCCAACACAATCCAGGTTTTACCTTCACAGCTTCACACAAATGTTTTATAAGAGTTGCTGTGTTCAGGCACACCCCTTACACACACATGGCCTCAGTAGCTTTCCTTAGCCTCAGAGGTAGATTCCACCACCCCTTTCATGTATCCTTGACTGTAAAGCCAGAACTACATGGCTTTATATTACAGTGGCATGCAGGTAGACATGGTGCTGGAGAAGTATCTGAGAGTTCTATGTCTGGATCTAAAGGCAGCAGGAAGAGAGAGACACTGCTTGGCTTGGGCTTCTGAAACCTCAGATGACACACTTCTTCCAGCAAGGCCCTATCTACCCCAACAAGCAGTATCTTTCCTTGTTGACCAAGCATTCCAATACATGAGCCCATGGGGGCCACTCTTATTCAAAGCATCACAGGACAGTTGTGAATTTATGTATGATTGACTAGCCAAGGTGGGTTTTTTAAAAAAAAAAAAAAACTTTGTAATTTTTTTTTTAGACATTAGTGGTGGTTTTTGTTTCCTTATTGTTTTTTTTTTTTTTTTTTTGACTTTTACTTGAATAACTAGTAGAACCTTATAAAGAATTCAGAATGATGCCTTGGAATGACATTTTAATTATGAAATAATGTTTTCAGAGAATGATCTGCCACTTGACTTGTGTCAGTCTTCTAAAATTTCTTTTCAGAGCTGGGCTCTGTGGCTCACATCTTTAGCACAGCCCTTGGAAGGCTAAGGCAGGAGAATTACTATAATTTTTGAGGTCACTTGGGGTACAGAGTGAGAATCTATCAGAAGAAAATTTCTTTTTTGGTAAGCTGCTCTGTGTGTATTATTAACTTAAGGTGTGCATTTTATACTTGGCAGCCATATTTTCTGCTCTTAAGAATCTTCAAGATAAGATTCGACGCTTGGAACTGGAAAGGATTCAGGCAGAAGAAAGTGTGAAAACCTTGTCTAGGGAAACAATTGAATATAAGAAAGTATTGGATGAACAGATACAAGAGAGAGAGAATTCAAAGAATGAAGAATCAAAGCACAATCAAGGTTTGTTTAACTAAGAGGAAACAGATCTATCCAAATATTGTAAAATTATTTTAGAATTCCACATTGGTAGTTTGTGATGGTCACTCTAGCCATTACAGAATTACATCATAATCAGGTATATTATGAGGAGCAAGTGACATCATACATAGTGCTTATTGGCAGTGTGTGGCATATTTGAGTAGCATAAGGAAGAACATAAGTCATCCAGAGAGGTTTCTAGGACTACTGTGAGAGACTGGCAGTTTTGGAGGCCTGCTGTTTTATTTTGCAGTAATCGGGCATACTGAGCAAGCACCCTACCACTAACCTTACCTCTAACCCATGTAAGTCCAGTTCCTGTTTACACGCTGTTGGGACACGTCTGTGTGTTGGCTAATGACTACTTTTTTGTGTGTATTCATTTTAGAATTGACATCCCAGCTGTTAGCTGCAGAAAATAAATGTAGTCTTTTAGAAAAACAATTGGAATACATGAGAAATATGATAAAGCATGCAGAGATGGAGAGGACATCTGTCTTAGAAAAGCAGGTATGGCACCTCCCAGATTATTAGCAGACCTTCTCAGAGAGGCCTGCTGGCACTGTTGTTAAAGCCCTGTGCTGAAGTCTGTTGGGCTCAGGGTAGCATATAGATGGTGGTTTGATTGGCTGTTTATTATGTATGATTCTTGAACTTGGTAAACTTGTGCTTAAATGTGAAAAATAGTCACGTTAATGTCTTGGAGTCTATATTATCAAATGTGTAAATAACCATATGTACCTGTGAAATCCACTACTATTTGTAAAATTTTTTGCAGTTAAAAAAAAAAAAAACACGTAATTAAGTTGCTTATTGAAACAGGGTCTCATAGAGTTTAGGCTGGCTCATCATGTTGCCCAAGGATGACCTGGCCATTCTCATCTTTGACTCCATCTCCAGAGTGCTGAAATTATAGGCCACATCACTATACCTGGTGTGTGTACTGCTGTGCATTGCACCTCAGGCTTTCTCTGGTGCTAGGCAAGCACTCTACCAGATGAGCTATGTGCCCAGCTACTGCACTTGTTAAATTTAAAACAAAATGTTTTTCTTCTGTTGCATCAGTAATCTTTGTACTTAAGTAACTTGTACATTTGTAGAGGATAATTACAACATTAGTGTCCAATATATTTTTTAAACATCCTTTTCATATGGAAAATTTAACTATTATGCAAAATTTGATTTCTTACATGCTTAAATGCTAGAAAATCTGCAGTTGTAAAAGAGAAATACTATTTTCTAGCCCCCGTCAACTTTTGGTCCTAGTTTGAGAACTAAGACTACATGTATAAGCAGTTATACAGCAGTGTTGGGAAAAATGTGCCAGTGACTAATCGCATATTATTCATCTCTTCACTGTGTTGTTGCTTGGGTTGTTTTATTATTCAGAGTTCTCTTGTATAATTCCCCACTGTCATGGAAATGGCAATGGCTTACTCAGACTTAGTGTTGGGTGTTTCCAAATATATCCAGTTAGATATTTGCCCATCTATTCTGATTTGTTTATAATGAAACTGTTGTTCCTTAAACAGATGGGCAGTCTTTCCAAATCAGACCCTAAGTGTGAAGGAAGAAAAGAGTATATTTTGCATTCAAAGGAAATATGCATACGAGTTCTTACAGTTTTTAAGAAATTACTTAATAGGACCAGACTGACTGGAAGTATTTGTGTATTTATGTAGCCTGTGTATCCAGTAAATCCTCTATCCTAGGGTATAAGGATATATGCCCTTAAATAAAACCTTATATGGAACCATATACTTGGTAAAGTACTATATTGAGAACAATATTCTAAGGATGGTGAGATGGCTTAGTGGATAAAGGCACTTACTTGCATTGAAGCCTGAAAAACCAAGTTTGATCCCTGGGACCAACATGGCAAAAAGAGGGAACTAGCTCTTACAAGATGTCCAAAAAGGCACGCTGTGCATATACATACAAAATTAAACACAGACACAGATCATTGTTACCCATGAAGTCTTAGTGTTCTATTCCTAGAATTCCTTTCCACGTCCAGCAGGTCTGTGAAAGGACAGGCAAATTACATATAGTATTATGTTGGGTGTGTGCTGTGTTTTCAACTTTTTGATCATCACATTATATTGCATTTTGATACTGTTTCTCAGGTTTCCCTAGAAAGAGAACGGCAACATGATCAAACTCACGTTCAGAGCCAGCTGGAAAAACTGGATCTTCTTGAACAAGAATACAACAAACTTACCACAATGCAGGCCCTTGCAGAAGTGAGTGAACATGACTTTTACTTACTGATGTCTAGTGTTGTGGTTGTCACTATTTTTTCATAAACATGGATATTTATAATGTAAAGGTTTTTCTTATACATAGTCTTTAAAAAAGAAAATAATTTGAAAAAGAATGTTGACATTTTGCAATCTTAGTGTCTAGACATAAGGTAGTTCTTTCTGAAAACAGTGAAGGGTGAAATGTTTTTGATACTTAAAACTTGCGTTATGTAATTTCTTTCTAACTAATTTTACTTTTAATTGTGTTTTACTTGAGAGACATTTAATACTACTGAGTGAAGATCTAGATTGTCTTTATGTAATCTTTACCTTTATACAAAGCTGTGTTTTTTGGTCGTAGATTTTTTTCCCCCCTTAATCCTGGCCACTTAACTCACAGCTACCTCACTAATGACTGTTAGTTGATCTATTAGGAGAGTGTCATGGATATTATCAAGGCCTTAGCCATCAATAGAGTGAACTAACGTGATTATTTTTACTATATTTAAAACTCTACAAAAAGATACTTTTAACCATTATCTGTTTTGATATTCTTATCACTAGAAAAAAATGCAAGAATTAGAGTCTAAACTCCGTGAAGAAGAGCAGGAAAGGAAGCGAATGCAGGCTCAGGCAGCAGAGGTGAGTGGAATGATGAACAGGTAAACACATGGTTTAAAAGTGAACAGTTACGCATGAGTACATCAGATCCATATGTAGACCTCAGAGATAGCTTAGTATTGGAAATTAGGACTGTAACTTTGCAAAATAAAATTTGAGCAGTTCTTTGGATGTTTCAAATCAGAGTCTGGATTAGTATTTTTAAAGCCCGTGAGGTTGGAGCTGGAGAGATGGTACATAAGTCAGAGCACATGGTTGTCCTTGTAGCAGGCTTCGCTTTGATTCTCAGGACCTACATGGTGGCTTACAACCAGCTGTAAGTCCAGTTCCAGAGCCTGGCACTCTTCTAACCTTTGGGCACTGAGCACATGTACATACATAATGCAGGCACTTTTGTAATACATAAATCCATACACGTAATATAAAAAATACTGTGAGCTAAAAAGGTGTCAAACACAGAAGTATTCATATAAAGCTTAGGTCTGATGAGCTCCTAGCAGATGATTCAGTATCCAGTGTAAATGTGTGTGTTGGGTAGAGTTAGTTGAGTGTAGAAGGATGCCTAGCATTCAGGAGACACTTGGTTCAGTCCTCAGTACTGCAGCAACAAAACTGTTGCTTCCCTTGAGACTCTTAAGATACCAGGACAGAAAGTAAACTCCTGTCCTTGAGAAGAATGAACTCTACTCTCCTAGTTTTGAATTTTGTGCCATGCAGTGGCCAGCCACCTGATAGTAGAATTGTAAAAATTCAAAGCATGAGTTCATGTATTCCAGCCGGAACTGCATTATAGAAGACACTGTAGAAATAATAAAGTTTTATTTTTTAATTTTCTATTTGAACTGGAGACTTTTCTCTGTGGTTATTTGCTTGGATATTTCCTAGATAGTCTCTTTTCCAACCTCTTTAAGATTATGCTAGTATTGGTAACTTTTATTATAGTAACACAAGAAGCAGGTCCTAATCTCAGAAGTTACTAATGGACCCATTGTAGTTGAGTCTGTGGCATCCTGTCTAGTGTCCTGCATTCTCACAGCTGCTGATGCAGGAATAGAATATTACAGTCTCTTTCTGCTCGTGCTCCTTTGAATCATTGATTGGATATATCTGTTTTTTATTACACTGGATATCATTTGTAGATTTACTCTTTCTGTGTGCTTGTTGAGTTATATGGCCACTTAACCATTTTTTTTTTTGTTCTGGCTTTAGGAAAACTATTTTAAGGTGTTTCTACTCCTCACATGTAACATTGCAAATGTATGGGTTATTCTTTATTAAATTGTAGTGTATAGTTCTTGTATGCTAAATAGAAATCTTCACAAATTCATTAATTGATGAATTCTTATCAGTTTGAGTTCTGATGGTAATGAAAGGCAGGTGGTGAAGGAGATGCATTCCTATATCTTGCTGATTCTGTATAACCTTGAACAGCGTATTTAACCATCCAGAGCCTGGATTTTATAGTGCTAGGGAAATCAAACAAATGGTAATAAAGATACTTTAAAACTCAGGGACACATATAAGACATCTACTAGAAAAACTAGATATGAGCTAGAATCAAAAAGTATCAATTAAGTGGTTCATTTGTTACTCTTCACACTTGTTGACAGTATAAATATTCCAGAGGGATGATATCCTTTGGAGTTTTGTCTAGTATAAAGTATTACTCAGTATGTCCAAGTGTGTCGTGCTCCTGAGGATGGAGAGCCCCGCATTCACTGCCAGTGAAAACCCTGTCCTAAGAGTGCTGAATACTAAAGGAATGTTCTCAGTATTCCTTGTATTTCATTCATTACTTGTGCTGTTTCTTAAAACTCAGTCATAACTTCTGGGGAACTTTTCCTTACTTGGAATTTTTAAATTCTTTAGGGGAGGAATCTAGTCATTGGAAATTTTACCAAACTCCAGACTATTTTTGATATATAGAGAGATATAAAATAACCACTTTTACAAACTTTTGGAGAGTGGAGCTGTTGAAAGATAGTTTAGAGAAAATTGCAGCTTCTCCCTCCCAAGATTTATTTTTGTTTTATATGTATGGGTGTTTTGCTTGCTTGTCTGTGTGTAGCACACTGTCAGCTTAGAGCTACACGCATTCCATTGAATTCCTGAAGTAGACTTTGCAGAGTAACCACCAATAGTGGAACAGTGCTTCCATGCAAGACATGACCAACTAAAGGCATACTGTACAGCCATGTCATCTTTTCAGTGAGATGATTGCCAGCATAGTTACAGACTTAGGTGGCACTTTAAATGTGAATTGTAGCTTTTATTTTACGTCATTAACTCTATGCTAATTTTTTTCTAGTTGCAGACTGGTCTAGAAGCAAATAGACTTATTTTTGAAGATAAGACAACTTCATATGTTCCAACCAGCACTAGAAAAATTAAAAAGAAGAAGTCAAAACCACCAGAAAAGGTATGAAAACTGCACCAGTTGCAGTCTAAATACCAACTTTATGTAATAATTTGTGTAAACAATACTAAAGCCATGTGGAATTAGAAGCTTGGAAGAGTGAGTCTCTTTCACTCTTAGTTTCTGTACTCAAAGCTGAAAATAAATAAAATTTATTTGTGAATTCTTACCATGGTAGTGAGGAACTATATGAAAGCATTTGGAACTACAAAAGAACAAAAATACTAGGAATATTCAGCTGTGTTCATTACCTTTGACTCTTAAAATGCTTTGTGAATACTGTTCCTCTCCTTAATTCTGACATGGTTAGTTAGTCCCCACCCCCCAACCCCCTACCCCCATTAGCCTCCAAGTGATATTATGATCCCTGATATAAACAAGTGTTGTGGTTTGAATGTGAAATGACCCCCATTAAGTCACTGGAAAGCAGGCCGTGAGGTTCCTAGCCTGGCCCACTTCCTGTCCTGTCTCGACTTTCCGACTCTTGGTACAGTGTGATGAATACCCACCCACCTGGGACTACTGTTGCCATGCTTTCTCCATGTTGAGTTGTATCTTATCAAACTGTGGGCCAAGAAAGTCCCTCTTTCAGAAGCAGCTTCTTGAAGCCTTGTTTCTACTTGGTCAGAGCAGCATGACATCTGGTTAAAGCTAGGTACCCAGTAGTTCCACAGTGAGCTGAAGTCTTGGGATTAATTCACCAAAATAAATAAAATAGCTTTCTTTTTTCTCCATCCAGAAAGGTTCTAGAAACTATTTCGGTGCACAGCCACACTACAGATTGTGCTTAGGTGATATGCCCTTTGTTGCTGGAAAGGTGAGTTGTAGCTGTTGATTTTCATGTGTAAATTATTTCAATGTCTTTTTTTTTCTTTCTGTTATATGTATAAGTGTTTTGCTAGCCTATGTCTGTGTACTATCTTTATTTAATGCCCAGAGGCCAGACAGGGTGTTGGATCCTCTGGGACTAGCATTCCAGATGATTGTGAGCTGCCATGTAGGTGCTGGGAATTGAACCTAGAATTCCACTGGAAGAGAAGCCAGTGTTCTTACCTGCTGAGCCATCTCTCTAGCCTGTTTCAGTCTTTATTACTCATTTTATGGGATATAAGTGTAGCATGAATCTTAAAAGTTCTTATTAATAAAATCAAACCTGAGCCAGGTATTGGGGTGAACTGGAAGATCAGAGAAACAGAATGAGCTACAGCTAACCTCACTTGGCCAACTTCTCAGCTGGTCCTGTTTCCTCTGAGTCCTCATCCAGAATGGATCTCAGCTGAATTGCTGCCCAAAAGCCTGAATGCTTAACCAGCCAAATGCTGCTAGTTTCTGGTCCTCACGCCTTATATACCTTTCTGCTTTCTACTACCACTCCCTGGGATTAAAGGCTTGCTTTCTGGGATTAAAGGCATGATGAGTCACCATGCCTGGCTGTATTCTTGAACACATGGATTTCTGCCTCTGGAATGCTAAGATTAAAGGCATGTGCTACCACTGCCTATCCTTTATGTTTAATATTGTGGCTGCTCTGTCTCTGACCCCAGATAAGTTTATTAGCATGCACAATATTTGGGGGAATACAGTACCACAGATAAGCAAACTTTGAACTTAAAAAATAAAAAATCCGGCCGGGCGGTGGTGGCACACGCCTTTAATCCCAGCACTCGGGAGGCAGAGGTAGGCGGATCTCTGTGAGTCCAAGGCCAGCCTGGGCTACCAAGTGAGTCCCAGGAAAGGCGCAAAGCTACACAGAGAAACCCTGTCTCGAAAAATTAAAAAAAAAAAAAACCTCAGCCTCAAGACTTCTGGGATTAATAGGTATGAACCACCATACCTGACTCTAGGAAAACCTTTTAGAAGGCACAACCTATTATTTATAAAATCAACTCAAGGAACAGGTTCTTTTCCTGAATCTTTGTATAAGCCTCTGTAAGTATGGGTGTGGAGTTATTTTTATGTAAACTTATTTTTTAATTTGTGTGTTTGTGAAAAACATTTGGTTTTTGATGTGAAAATGGAGAGGGGCCAGCGATGCATGTGGAGGTCAAGGTACAACTTGGAGTTCTCTCTTTCCACAGTGGGTTCTGGAGATAGAACTCAGGTCATCATCAGGCTTGTACAGCAAGAGTGCTTTTACCCAGAGCCATCATTCTGTCCCTGTGCAGAATTTTTAAATTTGTTGTGCTACATTTACCCTATTCCACCTGACAACCTTCATTCTTTGTCCTGTCCAAAGTCTCATCATACCCATTTTGTTGTCTTTGGTAATTCTCATTGAAGCCATGAATCACAAAGGACAAGACAAGGCTTTCGATGTGAAGTTGTTTTAAGTACTTTTTATGAATTGTTATTACAAAAGTTTAAGAAAACATAATTGCTTATTTGAGCCCCTCTCTACAAATTTTGAAGAATTAAAATATTTAAAATTTTAAAATTTTTAAATGTTTAAAATGTAAAATTACTTATTGTTATAGTCATGCTTACATATGTAATAAAAATGAGTCACTAGAAAAGTAAGACTATAAGCCCAAGTTTTTCATTACTAGACTCAACTGACATAAAATTACATTATGAGTCAGAAAAATAACAGTAACAATAAATTTTAAAACTTGTTCATTGCATATTAAAGTATACACACTGCCCATTATATGTGTGTGTGTAACTTACTGGCAAGTAGTGATGACTCTGATGTCAATAGCCACCTTTGTATTCCTAGGATCACCCCACTAGGCTTTGGTGTATGATTCCTTTCCCAGTGCAACAAACTCAAACTAAACACAAGGAAACATTTTTAAGCAATGAGCACATTAGATCTTAAGTTCTTCCCACAAGTCTGCATTTTAAACAGGTTGTCTGCTGATGGCTTATGGAGCTCAACAAGCCCAGCCAACTATTGAGATTGTTACTTCCCATTAAAACAAGTTTGAGAAAGCTATCAGGTTCTATTTTATGTTTATGCTGTGACAGATACACTTCAGTTTTTCCTACTATTCAAAGAAAGCTGAGTGTGGTGCACACCTCAAGATATTTACATTTACAAAAACATAGATACTTACATTATGATTCATAACAGTGGCAAAATTAGTTATGAAGTAGCAATGGAATAATTTTATGGTGGAGGGTCACTACTATGGGAGGCCAGCTGGGATATCAGCTCCCACATTTTACAAAACCCAGGTACTCTTGAGGAGAAAGGGATAAGAGATTTAGATAGAAGGATAGAGGGGAGAGAAATAGAAATACAGGATGGGCCTGGATCCTTATCCACTGGCGTCTTCTGTTTCTTCTAAAGGGCTATTTATAGGAATGCCAAGGGGTGGAGCAAAGACCTCCCCCTAACTCAGCCAAGTGTAGACTCTTCCAATCATCTAGGAACCATGCACATGGTCAAGCAATCCTCTAATGCAGCTCTGCTGGGTAAAGCAAGCTCAGATCTCACTAGGAAACTTTTGTAGGCCTCCACACACAGCATGAGGAACTGTATTGAAGGGTCGCAGCATTAGAGAGGCTGAGAACCCCTGCTCAAGGACCAGGAAGAACAAGTGAGTAGGTAAAATAACATGCAGACGCATAGAGTATGCTGTGATAAACAATGGTAGACAGATGTAAAAATTACCAGTGGGCTAGCTGAGAAGTGGAGTGGTTAACCTCCCAGGCTTTTAGAAATGTTGTTTGAACTAGGTTTAAGACAGGGTATAAAAGTGGCTTCCCCAAAGAAATGTTATCTGCAAATACAGTTTGTTCCCAGAGTAAGCCAAGAAACAGAGGGTTAAGCAGTGTAGGCTGTGCTCTACACTCAGAGCCGTTTTCTCTAGCCTAAGGAGTTTGGATTTCAGGTAGAATCATGATGGTGGAGCAAAGAACACAAGGCTGAGGCAAGAAGGTCAGTGGGGTGTTTTGTTTTTAGTAGTGCTTTTCTGGCTGGTTTTAGATGAGGTCTTGAACTTCACTGTAGCACAAGATGAACAATTTTTGGTCCTCTTGCCTCTGTCTCCCTCTGGAATTACAGGTCTGCACCAACATACCCAATTTATATGATGCTAGACTAAGTATGTGGCACAGAGTGGAGGGTGAGTGCTGATTCACCACAGTAAAGTCCCATTTGTGCCTTAGATGGTTAAGAACTAGAAAACGGGAAGAGAGGATATTGGCTTGCCTGACTAACTTTTCTCTTTAGTCCACCAGTCCCAGCCACGCTGTGGTAGCCAACGTTCAGCATGTCTTGCATCTGATGAAGCACCACAGTAAAGCTCTGTGCAATGATCGAGTTGTTAACAGTGTTCCCTTGGCAAAGCAAGCTTGTTCACGAGGTAGCAAGAATAAGAAGTCAGTGACGCCTCCCTCTGGCAGTGTCAGTGAAGAACTGTCAGATGTCTTACAGACTCTACAGGATGAATTTGGGCAAATGAGCTTGTGAGTTTGTAGTTTTTGCATTAAAAATCACATTTGGTTATAAAATCTCTTAGCTGCTTGAATTTATTAATCCTAATTTTGTTAACAGATGTTGAGCATAATCCTTACACTAGCCCACTGTCTGGGAGTTAAATAAATCTAACTGTCATGACTGAAACCTCCCTTTCTAATTTTGTTAGGTATCTAAAGCCATGTAAAAGCTCAATAGTGTTTAGGTTTAGTTAAATGTAACTGATAAGTTAGGACAGTGTCTGAAAACCGAATTTGTTTATATGTAATGTTGATGGAGGGAGCAGAAAGTAGATAAAAGTGTATTAGCTTACAATCCTGGATGAACAGAAACTTGTCTAGAATTAAGAATGCTTGGTTAGTGCCAAGCGGCGGCGGCACATGCCTTTAATCCCAGCACTCGGTAGGCAGAGCCAAGCAGATCTCTGTGAGTTCCCCCAGTCTGGTCTACAGAGCAAGATCCAGGACAGGCACCAAAACTACACAGAGAAACCCTGTCTTGAAGAAAGAAAGAAGAAAAAAAGAATGCTTGGTTATACCTTCATTTTGTATTTATTTTTCTTTATGTGTATATCACATGTGCAGATGCCCAAGGAGGCCAGAAGAGGCCATCAGAGCCCCTGGAGCCGGGGTCACAGGTGGTTGTGAGTCACTATGTATGATGTGGTTGCTGGAACTGAACTCAGATTCCTGGAAGCAGCAGTACTTTGTCAAAAAGCAAAATGGGTCTTTTAAAAAAAAAAAAAAAAAAAAAAAAAAAAAGAGTGGTGAATCCCATACTGAGATTTAAAGGATATAATTGTTAAACATGGGAAACTTAAGGTTAAGTTCCATATGTGTTTTGTGTGTAGCGATCACCAACAGCTTGCTAAACTCATCCAGGAGTCACCAACTGTGGAACTGAAGGACAACTTGGAGTGTGAATTGGAGGCATTAGTTGGGAGAATGGAAGCAAAAGCCAACCAGATAACTAAAGTCCGGAAATACCAAGCCCAGGTACCTCCTCCTCCCTTTACTTGTTTGTCATGAGTACCTTTTTCCTTCTTAGGTGTTCATTTCCTTCTTAGGTGTTCATCCTTCATAGGATGCTGAGGTGTGTTTGTCTTAGGCTGTTCCTAAGGACTTTTTTTTTTTTAATAAACCAGTCTGTGTTACATGGTTTAATAAAGAAGTGTTGTTAATCTTACTTAGGTTTCACATAAGATATGTTTTTACTGAATATATTTAATATCCTTAGCCTTATGAATAAATTTTAACTTCTGGATAAATTTAAGTGGTTGAGTTTGACCAAATTAAATTGTCTAAAATACACCTAGAGTTTTTTTGGGTTTTCAACTTAGTGAGATTAAATATGAAAAAAGCATAGTATGTTTGCTTATACCAAAACCTATTTGAGCTCTGCCCACTTATCCCCAAACTCCAATTACTGTCAGCCCGGGAACTGGATTCCACCTTTGTTCTGGCTCTGGTTCACAGTAATCTCAAAAACAATCTTTCTCTAGATAAAAACCTTGAGTAGCTTTATTTAATGTGAGTATACCTTTTACTTTTATTTAGTATGTGTGTTTTTATATACTTCAGTACTGCTGAATACTAAATGATTTAACGATCTCTGCAGATTTATGTGCTTAAAAAAAAAAAAAAAAAAAAAAAGAACCACCAGCATGTATCTTTGGAGTGTTAGAGGAAGATTACTGGTGTACTCGGGCTGAGGCAGGAGGATCAAGAGTTTAAGACTGTATATAGCAAGAACCTGTATCAAAACAAAGTACTTGAGCTAAAAGAAAATGTTTTTATTGAATTTGATTTTTTTCCCTGCCTTGATTTCGATAGCTGGAGAAACAGAACACAGATAAACAGAAAAAGGAATTAAAACCTAATAAAAAGACTCTTGATGAAGAAGGAAACAGCAGTCGTTCATCTGGAGTCACAAGGACCACAAGTAAGAAGGATTTTGCCAAACAGAGACCTGGAGAAAAAAGCAGGAAAAATCTTCAGTTACTGAAAGACATGCAAACCATACAGAATTCATTGCAGAGCAGTAATCTGTGTTGGGATTACTGACACCAGATCATAAATGATGTATCTTACTGGACAATGACAATAGACTTTCCAGGTTTCATGCTTGCTAATGGTGCCATTACTAGCAGGTGTTAAGGGGCCCAAGCTTCATTACATAATCTCTTGTGTTACGCAGCACAACTAAATGGAAATGGAGTTTTACAGCCCGAGAAGCTGTGCTGTCTCTTTGAATTTGCTGTATTCATATACTGCACTTTGTAAACAAATGACCAGTTTTTTACTTGTGGGTATGTTTTTTAAGTAGGAATATATGTAAATTGGGTTTGAAAATTCAGAATATGAGGCTGTCCCCATAGTCAGTGCTTGAAAAGTCTCTCGTTTTTAAATCTTCTCATAGTGTGAAGTAACCACGACTTTCCCTTCTCCAGATGTCCATTAAATGTATTGTTTCCAACTACAGATAGAGGCTTTCTGTATTTAAGTATTTATATATTTAAGAGGACTTTGTTTTGTTCTGCTTTTTGGTATTTCAGATGTTCATCAGTATGAAATCACTCTTAAAGACTCAAACATTTTTAAGTAAGTTACCCGTGAAATATATAACATCTTCTAAAACTATAAACAGTTGTTAATGAAATAAATGAAATTTTGGAATAAAAAATTAGAAGGGGGATGTTGTGAAATGTACACATTTGCAGTTTTTAGACAATACCTATTTGTAATCATGTTACTCAGTTAAGCACTGGTTTTAATCTTGACTCTTTGAGAACCCCATGCTTTTAGTGTACAGAATAAGGGTAGTGTGTGAACTGAACACACCTGACTATCATTATGTCAATGTAAATTATAATTTTGAAGAGATCAACATGTTTATTAAATTTGGTACTAAAATCAATAAAGCAACTTTTAAACTTTGCTTAGTAGCGAGCTAACAAAGGCTTTATTTGTTATACAATCTCAAGAGTGCATATTAGTATCCTGATTGAGAAACAGTGTTCGGTGCATGTTTATCACTCTCCTGTTTTCAGAGACTTAAGCCCAATGTGACTGATGGAGTGATTTATTAGACAGGCTGGTGAATGTACCAGCCATATATTAAAGGGATTGAAGTAGACATAATGGATTACAGCTTAACAGCATGACCTGTTCGTGCTACAATTTTCTAGTTAGAATTCTCAGAGTCCTTACATAGTTTTTTGAGATGTGTAAATCTCCCGAAATTGTTATAAACTTGACTTGTATATGCAATTTTCTGACAAGCAGGTTTGCAGCAACAGTGAACTGACACCAGTGAGTCCATAGACCCCAGGAAGGTGAGAAAACTGCTGATGACATGGTAAATACTACATCTCAACCACACTTCAGCTACTCCACTTGTGTTAACTTCTTGAATATCAGGACATTAAACTGTCTGTCATGTGAGTGGTAATGGCTCCAACTCCTAATTAGAATAGTAATTGACAGATGCTATCTTACCTGTCTCCAGCTGGATCCAAACTGTAGGGCTTTGGGTTTTGATCTTGTTCGCTCACTCACAGAAGAGCTCCCCTGTACTCGGTACAAGATGCCAACATGGATCCCATGCTGAGCAAGAAAGAAGTGCCAGGAATGTGGTTGGATTCCACAAGAAATGCTTTTAGTGTGTACACACCACACTGAAGATTTCTTGGAGGTCACAGAAGACATCAGAAGGTTTTGAAGGGAAACGTGATACGAGTTTCACTTATATTCCTCTGGTTTTTGAGTGATTGTATAATCAGCTTTAATGTTTGAATCCCATCTGCATACCTTCGTGCCATATCAAGACGATAAAAGTTTCAATGAGGAAAATAGACTAGAAATGAAAGTGTGAACTACTATAGAAATCTTACTTGAATACTGGTTAGTAAGAAATACCTTAAAAATTTTCTTATGACTAATTTTATATCAAACTAAAGCATTTGGTACCAATTTTGTTAATACTGGGTTATGTTGGGGATAGCTCAGTAGTATAGCACTTGCCTGGCAAGTGTGAGGCTCTAGGTTCAATGTCCAGACAAGCACAAATAAAAGAGGAATGGGGAGACCTGTGTGTATATGTGCATCGTACTAATTCCAGTAACAATGGGATGAGACAGTTCAGTTACTCAATTAGTAACTGAGAATAGTGTTATTTTTAGTTTGATTTAGGTGTCAAGGACAGGTGGGCTCAAATTGAACATTTCTAGGTAACATTTTGGGAGTCGGGTGGAGGGAGATACTTTAGACAACTGTGGACAAGGACAAAGTTTGAAGTCATTTAATTAAAAGCCCAAGTGGTAATAAGCTCCTTTGTTACATACAGTACATTACATATGGCTCTTATACAGAGTAAATAGACACCAGGAGGTGAACTGTTCACACCAGCACCCAACTCCAGTGAGTAGAGAAACAAGGCTTTACTTGCTGGCACTGAGATTGTAACTCTTTACATGCAGTGTGTTCTTTGGTAAAGTGTTCATGTGAAACTTAAACAGAGCACTAAAGTCAGACTTGGAAGGTTTTAAAATACTGTCTTAAAACTTGCCAATTAGCATTAAGATAAAGTAGAGTAATAGTTTCTAAAATGTCTTCTGTGATGTTAGTGATCAGCACACAAATGGAAATTAGTCTGAAGGGTCTGGAATGTTCTTTGAATTCCTGGATGACAGTTACTGCTTTGTCCCTTCATCCCCCTACCAAAGCACATATATAAGGCATAATTTCCTAACTGCCATTGAAAATACCCTAATTACAATGTCAGCAGCAATCTTAAACTACTGATACGCCATAATAATCTCAAGACAATGCTTTTTACTATATTAAATACCACAAAAACTGGGAAATTTGAGAAGTGATTTTGCTCTAACATGTCCATCAAGGTGCAGTACGTATGCTCTCAGGTATAAGAACAACTGCTCTTGCTTTTCTCCCATCTAGAGATCTTATCTGTCAGGTGCTCAGTTTTTGTTTTTTTTTTTAAGACATCTTTAAATTAAAAATTTGTTCCCACTGTGGATACAGGATTCCAGTACTTGAGTATTCTTTGGGTGACTAAAGATTAGTGTCATCTTTAATTACAAATGAAATGATTTCCATTGTCACCTGCACCAGGCGTTTCTAAACTCATCTAAGAGAGACTTGAAATAAATACAGCATCTGAAGGTTTCTCCCATAGATGGGTTTAAAACACGGAAGGCTTTCTACCAATAAGGTGCTGTAATGTCAACTTCCTGGCAACGATGCCCCGACTAATAGTTCTTTCATACAACAGTTTGGACAGGAGTCACACACTGTGCAGGAGAGCTGGCTCTCTCTGAAGAGGAGGTTGAGCGGTTGGAAATTTCTCTCTGAAGTTCCTCTACTTTTCTCTGAAGCTCTGCTCTTTTGGCAAGAAGTTCTTTGTATCTGTTGTGGATAGGTTCCTGCAAGAGCAAACAAAATCACTGCAGTAGGAATCCCAGCCAAACTCAAGATCTTAACCATTCCCTGGGCTTTGTGACACTGGTTGGCTCAATAGTTGGACAGCCCCACACTTCAGTTCCTCAGTGGAATTAAATTCAGGTTTTATTGTCACACTGCTTTTTCACTGACTTTAGGTGTTTCTGGAAAATGCTACTTTATAATAAATACATCATTTAGTTAAAACTCTTCAGGACCTGCAGTTTTTAGGCTTTTATAAAGTTTTTTTCTTCAGGATGTGTGCAGTTGGGAAAGTCTCATGACTGCTTTATGCAGTGCTTCTGTGACTGGATTATCACCAGTAATCGAGAGAGTTCTGAGTGTGACAGACCTAGTAGAGTCATACTGTGTATTGTAGACTTGTACCTGTGGTTTCATCCGGGGGTTCCACCTTATGTAATATCCCACCCAGAGTTCTAGGTGGCGCATGCTGGCTACTGGGTAAAGGACATGATTGGAGTAGCTCCCATAGAGAGGATTAGTGAAATCTTCCAGCTGGCTGTTTATGTAGGACCACAATGACACTGTCCTCTTAGGAAGATTCTGCAAGAGGGAAAAATAGGTAAAGATTCCCTACCACATCAGCAGTTTAAACCTTAGGTGAAATTTGTGTAGTGTTGTGTGATCATTAAAATCAACAGTAGAGGAAAAGGACTGGACACTTTGGTGACAGACCTACTACAATGAAAATGAAAGCAGTTGTTCAGAGTTAAACACAGGTAACCTGAGGGACCCAGAAGTTCCATTCTTTGCAGATTGAAAAATATTTGTACATGAAGTGCCTCAGTGCTTGAGAAAGGATCAAAATGTATCCACAATGGGTAGCTCAAAAAGAGAAACAAAAAAAATCAGCTCCAGGGCATCCAATATCTTCTCTCGTCTCCCACCATGCAAACACACACGACAATACACAAAAAATAAAAGTGCTCCATATGTTTAAAGTAATACTGTTCACAGCAGGCAAAATAAAGAACAACCCAAAAGACCATCAACTGATGGACACAGTGGAAGACTATTTGACCATAAAGAGAAAGGGAGTACTATGACATAAACATTGAAAAGATACTAACGCAAGGAGCCAGAGACAAAGGTCACATGCTGGAAGATTCCATTTAAATGAAATGTTCACAAGAGGCCCATCCACAGAGAAACCAGGTTACATCTGCCCAAACCTGGGAGAATGTGGACAAACAAATGGGGGTGGGGGTGGGGGACTGGTGTGATGAAAATGCTCTAAATTAAATGGTGATGGTCCTGATTCTGTGGCTCTACCATTACATTATTACTTTAAAAGAGGGTTTATGAGCTGGGCGGTGGTGGCGCACGCCTTTAATCCCAGCACTCGGGAGGCAGAGCCAGGTGGATCTCTGTGAGTTCGAGGCCAGCCTGGTCTCCAAAGCGAGTTCCAGGAAAGGCACAAAGCTACACAGAGAAACCCTGTCTCGAAAAAAACCAAAAAAAAAAAAAAAAAAAAAAAGGGTTTATGGTATTTAAATTGTATGATTAGGACTTACTGAAAGTAATAAGAACACTGCTGTGCTCTATTTGTGATTATCTAATATCCCATAACATATAGAAAGCCTACAATGCACAGAAATACATTCACTATTATACTACCTCAAGGTACAGTCTAAGAAGCACTTAATTTTCACAACAGTAAATACTATTTGCCTCTTTTACAAACAAAAATGAACTTGGACGTTAGTGAGTCTAACATCTGAACCTGGTAGCAGGGTTTTTCAGGGTGAGTACTCTCCTAGAAGAACCTATTTTCTGACAGTTTTCAGAATACAAGTTGATGTGCATGGAGGATGCTACCAATACCACCAGCAGTGACACCTCTACAGAGCGGTTCTTTTGTTTGTTGTTGCTGTAGCAGGATTAAACGCAGCACCTGACAGAGCTGGGCAAGCAATCCATCACTGAACTGTACAACTCCAGCATCTTTTCTTCAGACTTATTTTGAGACAGGATCTGTTTTAAAAGGCTGGCCTCAGATTTGTGATCCTTCTACCTTAGCCTCTAGAGTTTTCTGGGATTAGAGGATGATTCCCTCATCCCCATTTCATGGGTAGAAGTAATCCTAGTATATCTTGTGAGAAACAATAAAACCAAATACATACCAGAGTGAGAGCCACAGCTTATACTTTACCTCTTTCCCCCTTTGCTGTTCGCTGTTACAGAGGAATGTCCCAAATAAACAGCTGTACAAGTGGTCCAGGATGGTAATGAGGAAATATTCATTGAATTCAAATGCAGTAGGGAACTGCAAATTGAGCACAATTCTCTCTGTCATGAGTAGATCCTTTATAACAGTATTCAGATAGATTTGAAACTACCTAAGCCATTATGGATTTTCTGTTTTCCTTTCCAAGGTAGAGTTTCGCTCATGCAGCAAGTATCGAGTGGACTTAATTCTGGTTTTGTGTCTGCTCTGCCTTGACCATCTATAATTGCCAGACACTGAATTATGACTTGGAGCAATTCTGATGAGTCTGGTCTTCTATGCTTAGTTTTCTTTTAGTTTCAACATGTCTTATTTCTAAGAATTAAAAATATCAAATGTGTCCAGCAAATGCCATCAGTATATACACAGAAGTCAGTATCCATACAATTATGCAGATCACTTACAAGTCAACCTATTTGTCTGTTGAGAAACAGGTCCTGTGAGTCAAAACTAGCAGCATCAGTCCAACATAGACTTCACCCTTACCCAAGCCTCAGTGAGTGTCTTCATTTTATACAACCCAATTTTGGAGGACCATCAATGGAAGGATTAAATTACAGACCATCAAACAGTAGCAAAAGGCTTAATTTAATCCATCCTATCAGTATTACAAAAGCATTCAGAAACTTACTCGTAAATCTGTATTTATTAGGAGCTTGTGAAAGATTCCACAACAACCTGGAAAATACTGCCTTGCTATTTTAGAAAAAGTCCCTGTTGACCTAACTAAAATCTATGGAGACATGTGGTTAACTGCTAATACTTGTTTAGATAAGTAGCTAACATACCCTCAAGCTGCTTTCAACTTCTGTTTTTTTTTAACCCCTTCTTGATTTAGAATTGTATCACATTTCTAAAAAAAAAATCTCCCCATCCTACCGCAACAGCACCTTAATCTGTCCCAGCCCCCAGGTTATACCTAGTGACCGTGTTAGGGGTTGGTGGATCCTGCCAATCAGACAGCTGATCCAGATTCTTGCATTATTTGTCTTCCTGGCTTTTCTCCAATGACAAGAACTATATGCCTTCGAGCTTAACCCTACTCCTGAAACCATTTTCAAAACCATGCGGCTCTACTTCCTCTGTGAACCAAGTGTTATCTTCTAGTACCTTTCTAGACTGAGGCAGTTAACACAACTATTCCAAACAAACACACTGCCTAAAAGGCTGTTACAGTGTTCTCATAGCTCTATAATTGAGAAGGGGCTCAGTGATCCCTGCCTTACATTTTCTGTCTCAACACTTCTTCCTTAAAAACAACTAAAATAATACAAAATAGTGTTTGATTTGGCTAGGATTAATGTAGCTTGTTTCTTCATCTTCCTTAGCAAAGTACACAGAGCTTTCAGTCAGCAAAGATTATTATTTCATAGGAGG